AGCTCTCTGAGCATATAAAAAAAAAAAAAAAAAAAACATTTGTATGCTCTATTTCAATCACTTCAAAAGTGGCCACAATGCAACAAATGCTCACAATCTCATTTGCAAAGTATTTGGTGACTACAATCAACAGACAGACCTGCTACAATTGGTTCAAAAAATTCAAGGTTGGAGATTTTTTGCTTTAAGATGAACCCCATCCAGACAGCAATTCCACCATTGATGATGACATTCTCCTGCAACTAATTGACTACCAGAGAATTATCATAGTAACTTGAATGTTCTCATACAGTCCAAAAATTGATAAAATATATTGCCACAACAGTACACAAACACACAGAGCAAAGATGACCTTAAAGAAACTGGCCAGTCTGAGCTGGAAAGTTCTGCTTCATCCAGTTTAAGCCCAGACTTGGTGACAACTGACTACCATTTATTTTATCTCTGCAGAACCATAATGCCAATAATATACAGTTTAATGACAATACTCAATTCATGAGACTTTCTTCAAAGAAAAGCCCAGACATTCTATACTTATGGGAGTGGAAATTTGCAGCAAAGGTGAGATGTGATTGATATTGATGGTGATTATCTATTAGGCTGAACTGTTGTTGTTGAGTTAATTGTCAATAAATTTTTATTCAAAATGTCTAAACTTTACCTTTACAACCTGATATTTTGTCACATGTATTTTATTTTTAAATATTAAACAGTTATTCATTGTTTTGGTAAAAGTGTTTTTAAAAAATTTTAAATTGTCAATATGTAAGATCATATTTAAATAATTAATATTTATACATTTTAATACACAAAATTATTTAAATTAAAATCTGGAAAGAAACATGTTTTATAGGCTTAATTTATTAATGTTGAACATTATAGATAAATAATTTTTCTTTGAAATAATGTTGGACTTCATTAGATTTACAGATTACCATCATCTTTCGAATGCTTTACATAGATATGTAATATATGTATGTAATTTATCATCATATATGTCAGAAATTTATGTATAATACACTAAGTTAAGATTATTAAATTATGTATTAGTTTTTTTTATTTTGATCTAAAATATAGTTATCAACTACTAAGATAAGCAGTAACTGTGATATAGATATGAAATATATTTAAATTTCTATCAAAATAATTTTATTTATTCTAAACATATAATGTCATACATGTTTGGTACTATAGATTACTAGTGAGCAGCGTCTGTATCCATCTCCAACATCATATATACAAGAAAGTCATCTTTCATTGTTTGAATTTGTAGGAAAAATGCTTGGAAAAGCAGTTTATGAGGTAGTAATAATTAAATTTATTTTAAATGATTTGATTAAACATATGAAAAAAATAAAATATTTTCTTTACTGAAAAAAAAAAATTTCTTTTTTATTCCTTTGAATGAAAATTTAAATATGTATATTACATCTTTAAATATTGACAATGATGAATTCATTGTGTTGAATTTTAGTTAAAAAATTTAACCAAAAGCATTTATTCTATAATATTGAATTTTTTATTTTTAGGGAATTGTTGTAGATGTTCCTTTTGCATCTTTCTTTTTAAGTCAAGTATTAGGCCATCAGCACAGTGCTCTGTACAGTTCAATAGATGAGCTACCATCTCTTGATCCAGAACTATATAAAAGTTTGACATATATAAAGGTGATAGTAGTATATAGACCTACATAGAATAAAATTTTTATTTTAATATCATTCTCTTTAGTAAGCAATGCTGCTTCATAATACTATGCAAATCACACAGTTAAAGCAATAAGCACATAAGTTGTGTTTATACATTGGATTCACACAGATCTTGAACAACTCCAAACGAAAACAAGAACAACACTTATTAAGCATAAATAACATCATCCTAAATCTGTCACAGAAAGATTAACCCTTCCATGTAAAGATGGTGAACATGGCCTAATTGGCATAGTTAACCTTCACAACAAACAAATACAGTCACCATGAGAGTTTTTCTACAAAAACAAGAAACATCACAGTTACATAAAGCAGTAACTCTAGCAGACTCAAATAACACACCATTAAACTTACACTCACATCATACAGACATGACACAACATATAAAAAGCATAGATACCATTAAGCAGTCGTGGGCTCAAAAGGCACTCCATAACAGGCATTTTTATGCTTGGCCCAGGATTTTGTTGACAAAACTGTGTCAAACAGCTGGTTAGATCGGGGATGCCTCTTTGGGGAGCCGTAAGGATTCATGATTGCCATACAGGATCAGGTCATAAATACTAAAAACTACAGAAAACACATACTCAAAGATACAACACTCACAAATGACACATGTATAGTTTCTGGCATGATGTGACATTTTCTGCAACACATCACTTCTGGTTGCAAGCTCTTGGCACAGACAGATTACTTACATAGACACAATCAAGTAGCAAATATAATACACCAAGAGCTTGCNGTTTGGATTTGGCCAAAACAGAATTAGACTGTTGCTGGATTAAAAGACGGAAGGAGAGTGAAGAAGTTTGTGAAATTTTTGTATTTTAAAAATTAAATATTTTTAAAATTAAAATTCATTTCTAGTGTTTATTTTCATAGATAAAATAAACTTTATGAATGTTAAATTATTCAGTTATTCTTTTCCTTTGATTTTTGATATTATATAGGAAACGTTTAGAACTAAAGTGGATTTATCTAAAAATGGTATTTTGGTTTTTCTTCAATCTTTTATGGTGATTAAGTGTATTTGAACTTTATTAAATGAAAAAAAAAAATGTTTTATAATGTTTATTTTTCAGACTACTAATGTTTTAAACCAAGAAATCTCAGGAATTAAAAATTCAGAACTTGATCCACTTTAGTTCTAAATGCCTTTAAATGTAGATAGTATAATTTATATTCTTATTATGATATGCCTGATTTAGCTACATACGTAACATGATATAAGGTGGAAATGACAAAATAATTATTATATAGTGATAGATTTTGCATTATCTGTTAGGAATTCTAGCATAAAAACAATATCCTTTTCTTACATAACAAAGCATCCCAAAAAATTCTGTATAACCATTTATCTTAATTTTGTTGAATTTTAATAAAAATGAAGTCACTAATGAATTGATTTTTTCATAATCTGTCATTAGATATTACNAAGTATTAATAAAAAATTATCCTGTTTTTATTAAAAAAATTGTCAATTTTTACTTTGTTTTGATTTTATATCTTTATTTTTAAATACAACTTGAATGATTTTTCATATAGCGAATATTGTGATGTACTAAAGCTAGGTTTTTCTAGCCTTTATTATAATTTTGTTTAAAGTATAAAAGATTTTGTAATACAGTGAGTGATCAGTTAACGAACACATCGGATAACAAACACTTTCACGAAAGATTTTTATGATCGGCCAACAAATACATGTTCAGATAATGAACACTTCACTGAACAAATATAAAAAGAAGCAACAAAAATAACAAATACCAATTGATTTTCCCTTGTCTTCAGGCAAGAATTCGAAACTTTTTGGAGCGCTGGAAATGTCGACATCAACGCTCAACTGTATAATATACTGATCAGATAGTATTCCTCCGAACTTTGAAACTCTTCCTTGTAATTCCAGCCTTTTATTTTTCTGACAGAAAATTTTTTTATAGTATTCGCAAGACTGTTGGGCGGGCACTCGTTAAGTTTTGCATTGAGTTTTATTTTTGAAAGATAAAATAGCAAAGGCAGAAGATGTCTGATATTGCTGGGCAGTATGGCCTGAACAAATCTACAGTAGGATGCAGTTCAATCTTATCTAAGAAAGATACAGTATAATCAAGAAAACTCAAGCAGCTAAAAGAGTAACAAAAATCACTTCTGAGAAATAAAGAACATTGAAGAGCTCATAATGGAACCTGAAATGGATCTGACGACAGAAGAACGCCAAGAACTATTGAATGAAGAACACCAAGAAACTCTGTGAGATATGTTTTCTTCTAAAAAAGAGGATTAATGCCGGTATCTGCTATTAATTAAAGATCTTTTGAAGAAGTGGGGATGTCAGATCAACGGTCTTAGAATGGCATACAAACTAGGATGAGGTTAATAAGCTTGGGGATCTCTACAATTACAATTTTATTAATTCTGAAAATCTTGAAGAAGAGAGAAGAACAATCAACATTAGACAGATTATTTAACCCCCACAAACAAACACAAAAAAAAACATGACTAATAAGAATGCAACTCTGGGTATATATGTATTTTTATTACTACATATAAATAAACGTAGTAAGAAAGTATATATTTTTTATTTTTTGGGATCTCCAGAATGAATTAATCAAATTCCCATACAAACCTATGGTAAATTGATAATTGGTTAATGAACAGTTCAGATGGCGAACAAAGTCTTGGAACGGATCATGTTAGTTAACTGATCATCCACTGTATATTCTTTCTTTTTTATATTGTGCTTTGTTTTTTTTATTCCATAACTTTCAGTAACTGTCAGATAAAGTTAAACCAATGTTGTATGAAATATTTTGTAGTTAATAAAAGGTTAATGGAAAAGTGTTAAATAAATAATTACATTTAGATAATATTTTTATACAAAAATTCAAAAGTATTTTTTACGTATTTATAATAAATTTGTAAATATTTTAATGTAGAGATATAAAAGTTAGCTCATTCATGAATGATCTTGAAAAAGGAAAGAAAACAGCACAGATCTTAATGCAGAAAGTTCCACATATTGTTCCTCACAAAGAAGTAAGCTAATTTTTATAATTTTGAATTATTTGAAACTTATAAACTACAAAATGTATAAAAGATTAATTCCATGATTTATTACACAAATACAGAAAATCATATTTATATATTTTAGAAATAACACAAGTAAATGTGTTATTTTTAATATAATAAATATTATGTAGTAAAAAATATTTATAATATATATAAACTAGCATCCCCATCGCGGCCTCGCCCGCTCTTATATACAGCGTGGTTATAATTAAAGTTGCTCTACTCATACCTGTCTAGAGCCCGTTCTCGTAGATGTATTTTGATGAAACTTAGTATATATGTTATATATACCAAGAGGAAAAAAGGGACTATGGGGAAAAGGAAAATGCAAAAAAATATTTAGTTGGAATTTTTACCATTAGGTTAAAAAATAGTGCATGAAGAACAAGAAACACAAAATGGAAACATGCAAAAGGTTTTTATTCACAACATTTGTTCAATGTGCAATCCATTTGCATGTTTCCATTTTGAGTTTCTTGTTCTTAATGTGCCATTTTTTCACCTAGTGGTAAAAATTCCAACTAAATATTTTTTTGCATTTTCCTTTTTCCCATGGTCCATATAACATATATACCAAGTTTCATCAAAATACATCCACGAGAATGGACTCTAGACAGGGTGAGTAGGGCAACTTTAATTATAACCACCTTGTACATACATAGAACTTTGAAAATTTGAACTAATTGTTCATTAATTATTTTTGGGTGATCAATATGTAGTATTGCAGTAGAGCATTGCAAAATAAAAAAAAATAAAATTATAAAACTTCTGAATAAGTTATATTGATTTGAAACCTAAAAAATTCCTTGCTATATGCATTCGATTCTGAGCCAAATGAATTCATTGCTCTTCCAGTCTTTGAGACCACTCTGCTGTAGATTCACGTTGTCTACAATTATGAACAATAATAGCTCTAGAAAGTTTTCTTCCTATTTCGTGCTCTTGCTTCTCTCGGCATAATTTATCAATCAATCTCAAAAATATTCATTTGAGATAAATCCAATAACTGTTTTGAATATTTTGTACAATTACCTGCAGAAATTAATGCATAATGATTTGAAAACCCGCCATAAGTAAACATACTTCCATCTAGCATGATGATGTCACTTTTTTAATTCCTCGAAGATTTTGCTAATTAACTAATTATAATTTAATGTCAGTTCTTCAAATATAATAGTAAACTTCAATAATAGACTTTTCTTATAGACAGAAAGTACTAATTCATGTGTTGCCATCTAGTGAAGAGAGAGACAAATAGACAGACAAAAATCCGTTGCAGTTTTATTTAATTAATAAAAAAATCTGTAGGTTTGATTAGTGGTAAACATTCCGGGGATCATAAAGATGCTACAGTTAAAATTTGGTAACGATTGGTTCAGTAGTTTTCACGGTTAGTGGTCACAAACGAAAAATACGTT